CCTCTCGAGATGACAAGTCCAGTCGGCACACCTTAGCTTCTACTCCTCTCAGTAGGGAATCCCCAATTACCAACACATGCCTTCTCCTATACTGGGGAGCAGAGACATGAGTCCTCTCACCCACAGGGGTCTGAGAAATTTTCTTCAAGTTTTGTGGAGGCTGGGGGAGGAGCCCTTGTTCCAGTGGTTCAGAATCAATATCTGTGGGGAGATCCAAGAACCGATTGCTTAGAAACAGAGGCTCAGAATGTCTCTTGATCTTCCTTCTCCTGTGGATTATATTCTTCCATGTGCCTTCCTCTTCAGTTGGGTGCTCCTCCAGTTGCTGGGATACTTTTCCCTCCTCCTCCTGTTGCCCTCTCAGGAGCACTTCATGTATTCTGTCCATGAACTCTTCACCTTCCCTTATAAACTGGAGTGTGGACAAGTGTGCCTCAAGTCCCTGTATCTTCTCCTCCAGTATGGCTACCAACTTACACTTGCTGCAAGTGTAATTGCTGTTACCCTCAGGTAAGAATACAAACATGCCACAGACTTTGCACGTCACTGCCTCAGCTCCCTCACCAACCATGCTGTTGCAATCCATTTCAAAATTAGTTCAGTTTAACAGACACTTCTTTGATAACTCCCCTGTCAATCTGCCCGTCAAGACTATTTGTGAAATATTTGCAGAAGCAAAAACTAACTTAAATATAGAATGTAAGATGTATTCAGCCTTCTACAGGGGGCCCAGGTCAGACCCACAGGCTAAAAGCCACAGGCCAAGAGCCCTATGGGTCATGCCAGTGGCTCATGCCTCTGGTGAGGTGCAGCCTTAAATAGAAGCCTCACCCAACAGAGGGTGGGGCCAGAAGCTATTCAAATTACACCCAGGCAATCCAATTACTGCCAGGTCTCCCAGTTAAAACACTCTCCACAACACACTTAAGCAGTGGTAGTTTATTGAGATATGCTTACTTTTGGAAACATGCTCTGTGTCAGAACTGAGGAAGGGCATGAAAAATCCCCAGTTATAGGTAAGAGAAACAGCACCCCACATCCCATGCACACGTCATCATCCAGCCCCTATGTCACTATGGCAACCCTGACAGATATATGGAGCCTTATCTTATTCTAGCCCAGCAAAGAAGACTCCAAGGCCAGCTCCCTTGGGAACCGGCATTAGGGCACAGCTTAAGAAATGGTTATGGCTTCTACAAGCATACACTCCAAACAACCCATGCACTCCCATTAGGAATTCCCTCCCTTCTAAAGTATGGCAAGCAGAGAAGTGAATTACAGAGAAACAAAACTAAGCTTGATGTTCTGCCCCCTCCAAGCCCACTTAACCCCCCTAGCTTGTGAGGATTACATTTATGGAAAGCACGAATAAGGGAAGGGGCATTGATGTTTGTACTTTCATTGTGTTCTGGACCAAAGTCCCTCCATTTAATCAAGTAAAACAAGAGGCACCTCCTGTTGGGGTTCTCCGTCGATCATAAGAGGGGAAGGAGCAGGATGATGAGTCCAGGGCAAGGGTCCAGGATCTTTCTTCAGTAAACTAAAATGAAACACAGGTTGCACGTGATGCAAGTTTTTTGGCAAGTCAACTTCAACTGTCACCTTATTGATCAACCGGGTCACTTTAAAAGGGACAATATATTTCCACCCCAGTTTCCCCCCTAGTTGCACCCCCCCCTTCGGTGCTTGGTGGAAATGTACACTGAGTCTCCAGGGGCCAGATCCCACTCTGGGCCTTGATGTTTGTCAGCATAATGTTTATAGTCCTCTTTATACTTGGCCAATGTTTTCTGAAGGGTTTCCCAACCCCTTGTCACCGTACTTGGGCATCTCCAGTCGCAGGCTCCTCCAAATTCAATGTTGGCTCCCCTCATATCCATGGACTGCCATGAAAGGGGACATTCCTGTTGAGCTGTGCACCAAATTATTGTAGCTATACTCAGCAAAAGGAAGCAACTGCACCCAATCGTCTTGTTGGTAATTTAAAAAGCATCTGAGGAACGGTTCCAAGACCTGGTTGGTGCGCTTAGTTTGACCATCTGTCTCGGGGTGGTAGCCACTACTTAAGCCCTGTTCCACCCACAGGACCTTCAACAATTATTTCCAAAACTTGGCCACGAACTGTGAACTCCTATCGGAGATTATCTTTCATAGTACGGCAGGTAATCTCACAATGTGTTGCATAAACATTTGGGCCAGCCTCCGGGTCAAAGGCACCTGCTTACAAGGGATGAAGTGTGCTTGTTTTGAGAACAAGTCTACTACCACCCAAATAGCTGTTTCCCCCTGACTCGGGTAGATCTGTGATGAAATCCATAGAAATCACTGACCAGGCTCCCTCTGGGGTCTCCAGCAGCTGGAGTAAACCCGGAAGTCCCCCCTCCCGGCGTTTACTCATGAGACAAGTCTGGCACGACCGCACATACTTTGAAATGTCCCCC